ATGACGGACAAACGATAGGCAGTGGTACGAGCGTACATCAGTTTATAACGACATCTTGTGACGGAAGTAGATATGCATTGTTTAAGTTCTGTGTGTGATGAGTGAGTGGTGTCCGACAGAATATTGTTGCAGAAGTTATCGCAAGAGGTAAAATGTTTATCAGCGATAAAGTTAAGCAAGTGCAAATAAAGAACACCGCTTATGCGAGAAATAATTTTAATAGACCGGCGTAGAATTGTGTAATCTTTAGCTCTAAGACCGGCAAATAAAACTGGGGAGCAGTAGAGAGGAAGATGAGTAACAACACAAGAATATACAAATTGGGTTAGTAAATACAATGGAACTTTCAAAGAATGCAAGCGGGTAATAAAGAAACACAACCGCCATAACAGTAATAATAGTCAATAACAGGGAATGGAGGGATTAGGATACAGAACAGAGTGAAGTGGAGATTAAATAGCTGCTGTGGGTAACAGTAAATAACCAGAGTAACAGTTTTCTTTTGTTTTTCTCATGGTTAGAAAATGTGACAGTTAACGGACACAGTATTAACAAAGTTGCACCCACGTGCTCCGCAGTCAAAGATCAGTTAATGGTGACACATCAACAAGAAATACCAAAGATAGTCATAACGAATGCCAGACCATATCCCCAAGTGGCAGGATAAATCAATGTATCGGAGCACGCTAAATCAATGATCATTGATGAAAACGCAGGCTCGATTGCGAAACAATTGGTCGCAGTGGAGCGCACACAGTTAACCCAGTTTTATTCCTCAGGTAGTTTTCCTTTTAGCAGTCCTTAGCCACGCATTTTGTGCAGCGGTTTTGGGTGCTGTCTCTAGGCTGTCCATTTAGATAGAGGACTAAAGGGTAGGTCGTGATGTTGGAAGTAGTCAAGTCAAGTATATGCTTTATGTACTCTGAAAGGTGAATATTCAACAACTACACAACCAAATTAAAACCACTTAAGCAAGTAAAATTGTACCAGGACAAAACAAACTACAATTTACAATAAGGGTGAGTCGAGTTCAGAAACGATGCGTTCCGGGTTACCAAGAAATTGACGGAGGGTCAGGCACCACACAAGACCGTCAGGTGGTTGTGTGAGCAAATATACAGTTATAGTGGGATCGGGAAGAAGAGAACAAAATTTATTAGAAACATCTACGTGTCACGGATGCGAAGGGTTGTGGATAACCAGTGGCACGAGTTTGTATGGTGTGAAATGATCGAGAATTTCACGGGAAACTCCGCTTGTTCTAGGTCGATGTGTTAAGGATCTGGAGAACGGGTTAAAGTTCTCCTGGAGCATCCGTGGGAAGATTACAAGGGACCCATACAGCCAAAGAAGAAAACTACAAATAAAATCAAAACGGCGGATCAGGATGCGAGGAACGGTTAAAGCTTTCAAGCATAGGATTCAAACTAATAATATTCTGATCTTTCCAAATACAGGAAAAAGTTGATCAGACCATCATAAGTTGTGGCTAATTAATACATAGAGGTACCTAACATTTGCGGGTTGGTTAACAGTGTCACCTTGCGTGTTTACTGTTCGACAGGATTATAAGAGATTTGCGTAACGGTTCCCTCTGAGAAGTGAGAAGAGCATATCTACGCATTTAGATAAATTAAGATTGAAGTTGTGTGCAGTTGACCAATCAGCAAGGTTAGGAAATCTTGTTGAACAGTGGAGGCGATTCTAACAACAACGTCTGCCTATTTAATAAGTAGAGAATTTCGGTGAATAGGCATAGGTGCAAGTGGACAAGAAAAACGGTGACAGGATGAATGGCACCCTGTATAGGGATTAAGGGAGAAGAGTTGCTTCCAAATTGTCATTTAAACCGAACGATTTGTGATTGCCGCAGTTGTGATGTGATACCCCACTGAAGGACAAAATATTTGTCAACTTACATCTGTCAAAACAATGGAAGGTGTTGTTATCGTCTAAGAAAAGTACTCTGATAGCCTTCTTGTTTCCATCCAGCGCCGATAGAATATAGTGGACCAGAGAAGCTAGAGCATCTAGTGTGGAACGAGAGTGGTAGTACGCAAATTTGTTTAGGTCATACATGTTCATCGGAGATGACATTCCTTTTCGAGGAGGTTCAACACAACAGCCATACATGCAATGAGACGGAGTTTTGAGGTTCCTCTTTTCAGTACCGGGGTAATAGAGGCAGGGTTCCAGCCATTAGGTATGATTCCATTTTCCAAGCACCGGCGAAAGTATGTAAACACACTCCTTAAGTGTGATATCACCCATCCTGTTGAGACCGGGTGATATATTAAGATCAAGAATCAATAGCTTCTTTAGGATATCCTCTTGTTGAGTGGTAAAGGGTTCGGTAACACTGATGCAGGTGTTTGTGCTGTCCATGGACGGCTTCATCTTCCTCTCGCTGTTTCCTTTATTCAGTGCTCGACTCAGCTCCTCACTGTCTATTAATGTCCGAGAAACGATTGAGGATTGGCTAATCAACTTCTTGATTCCAGGTCTCCGGGCAAGCTTTGTTGTTCAGGAATGCGAGTGCAGATTTCGTTCAGTTTGTGTAGTTAGCTTTTGTTAGCACGTGATAAAGATTTTACCCTTTGAAGATTTTAACGTTTCTATACTCTTTCCTTGCTTCGACCTGGCTGTTTCAGTTTGGGAGATTAGATATGATCACAGCGAATGTATGGCGTCTCTCATGAGCAGTATATACCGTAGAGAAATTCAAGATATTGCGTTCGGTGGTCATAGAAGATTAAAGGGTTAAAGTGGTAGAACACACTGAAGTCTGTTTAGAAGACAATCACACAGAGTTCCTATTTGTTACATTAACGTTTCCTTCTCTTAGTGTCGCGTATTTTCGTCAGAGTTGTGATTGAATTTATTCTACGCTCCTGGGAAAACTAATAAGGGCATGGTCGGAACACCCAAGGGGTCAGAGGACAGATACCAATGATAGACTCGTATTATTGGCATATCACATACAAATGAGGAGTCAACCAAGAATGGTTAAAAAGCTAATATCAACACGATTGAAGGTGCCACAAATGGCACATGGCGAGAGATAAAGTAAAAATAGAATCAAGATTAAAGTTGCAAGCACATTCAGTAGATGCAATAGCGCCACTGTTTACAGTACTTAGCCGTATCACTCATTGTCTATACCTATCGATTACTCTGATCCCAAATGTCCCCATCCAGGAAGCCTAATGTGACCTATGTGAGCACAAGCGGTATTTCCTATCCACACTTACTCAACTTTATTGCCACAAACATTTTACCTCTTAAAAAATTCTGCAACAATTTTTATCATCACTAGCACACAGAACTTAAACCATGTGTATCCACTTCCGTGTCGTCATAAACTTGTGTATACTCGGACCACTGTCTACTGTTTGTTATCGCATATCCCATCCGTCAGAGACAACTTTTTACAAATCTTAAGTAAATGATATCGATTTTCACATTGTACGCCACCTTTTTCTGTTAAATTTATGACGCCGTGTTTTGCTTTTTCTCTGACTGTTTGCGATGAATAATTACTCTGGTGTGTACTGAGCTGAAAATCCATCTATCAGGATGAATAGAGCTATTTGTGACTTGACTTGATTTCTAGGTTACGATCCTTTTATTCAAACAACTGAAGCCGAGTCCACGCTTCTGGTACTCCCCCCCTGATCGAATTCACCACAGTGCGGTGATCGTCTGGGTTGTCCTTTATTTATTTAACTATTTATTTATTTATTATTTATCTATTTAACTTGCTAGTAAATTTGATTCTGGAAGCAGCTCTACCCTCGTACGAGAATAGTGCAGTCGATTTACTCCCCAGTGACAGGCTGATCTGGAGTATGCAGATATCGCGCTATTAAGGGGCGACCCATTTAGGTCACATGGTTTTCTGGCTAGTTCGAGCGCTAGCGTATCTACGTTTGATATGCATTTCTCACATTCAAAGTGTAAAATGTCGCTACAGGACTGGGCTCTCAACCTCACTGGAGGAGTAATGGATCAATTTTCGTTTTATTCCAGAGAACATTGTCACTGTTTTATCTCATCATGATGTTTTCTTTCTTTCAGTACAATATGTCTCAGCCGGTTCCTTCCGACCCTCATACATCCTTCGGACATCACATATCCGGCTCTCATACCGACCCAGCCACTGGTGGTGTTGCAATGCAGAACGGTCCCGTTTATCATTCCAATCTGTTCGCTCCTCCTTCCTCATCTGGTCCACAAGTCCGTGACGGTCCCAGTTCAGACGGGACGACTGCGCCGACTGGGCAGATGCCCAATACCACTGGGTCGGAATCGTTCCAACCTAGCCCAAACCTGTTCTTCACTCCAATGCCATCCGGTTTCAGTGAGACCGGACCGGACAGTTCGACAGGCGCTGGGGCCCCCGGTGTATTTGACTATTTTGCAGGGATACGATCTACCGAACAGGTACATTCTGATGTGGTTCATCGATGATATGGCCACGCGTGCAGCTGTGGTGTGCCAAATAAATTAACATCGTTGGCTCTTCAGCTGTCATTGTTATCAACTCTTCAGTAGATCACATAGAAGATCACGGATCATCATGTTTGATTATTGAAACAAATATCACAGATCGTTTTTGGGAATGCGTTGCTCTTACACGTTTCGGGCTAGAAATTTTGGTTAGCCGTGCTCACTGGTTAATAGCGGCTGGATTATTTATATTGTAGCAAAAGCTCATTGTTTGTTAATCTTATGTATTGGGCTGGTGTATTTTACACGCTTATCGTTTTTGACTTATAGCATCCCGGAAACCGATCTCGAACTGTGTCCGGATGCTCGCAAAGTTCTACGATTGGTGGCCATCCGGTAAGTCAGGCCTAACTTACATTTTTCCTTCCCAATATTGTCACTGGTGCTCGGATTCATATCATGCATCCGGTTTGATTGTTATATGTCTCACTCTAGCCTCCCAAACC